TTTGGCACACAATAGTTAGTAAAAACAAAATAACCTAAGCGTATATATATATATATATATATATATATATATATATATATATATATATATATATATATATATATATATATATATAACAGAACAATTGTCCAGAATACTACTCTGTTATTCCGGAGACCTCTCATAGATGTTATATTCCGCAAAAAGTGGTTAGTTTATAAAAAAATAGTTTTTTTTTATAGCGGTTATATTACTCAATTTCCCAAAAAAACATTCATCTTCTTCTAATATTACTCAAGGTTCACACGTACTAATTAATACATTGTATCATACTAAGTACTTCAAATTTGAGAAAATGACTTATTAAAGTAATTAACTTTTTGGTATGTTTACATCTGGGTAGCTATTTTTTGTGCACATCTAGGTAACAAACTTGTTGGAAGTGTTCACATATGACCATTATGAACGGTTATAGTAGGTTACATCCTAGATGTGAACACTTTCAACAAGTTCGTTACCTAGATGTTTATAAAAAAAAACTACCCAAATATGAACAAAATAAAAAAGTAAGAGTAAATTACACGAATGGTCCCCGTGGTTTAGGAGAATTTTTTTAGTCCCTAACTTATTTTTTTTAACTCAGATGGTCTCTACTGTTTATTTTTGTTGCGCGTTTGGTCCATGTCTGTCACACCCCAAACCGGAACGGCGGAAACGTTCGGGGGCGGATGACTTCATGTAGTAACGTAACAAATGAATACATTGTAAAGAAAGCAATACAACCATCATATATATAATTGAAAGTTTACATTGTTTAAAAGAGTACATGTTCAAAACCAATTACAATATGATGCCAAAAATATGACTTTAAACTGGTGCCGCAACGTTCCTTCTGCAAAAAAGCTATTTGGTACCTGCAATTACTGAGTCCTTGGGACATACAAGTAGTTTTGAAAGAGTAGATTAGCATTTAAGCTGGTGAGTTTCATAAGTATTTAAATGATAGTATTTGTATGAACTAAAATGAAATGGTTTGTTTTTGTTTGTTAGTTTCTAGAAAATCCCATATTTCCTACTAGTATAAATGTAGCCTTAAATCAAATCCAATGTTTGTTAGAAAGTTGATGTTTTCCCATATGTGAGTAGTGGTTTAGAAGTTCCAAACTTGTATCAAAATTAGGTTTTTCATGCCTAAAGTATGTACGTATAAAACCTCCAATACGTCTGAAAAACCCCATAAATCAATGTGTTTTTAATACTCTATGTGAGTTTTATAACCATGCTATTGATAAGGAATGCCTATACACAACATTCTTCAGGTGTTGGAATGATCTGACGTTTGTCACCCCAAATGGTGTACTGTAGCTAACAGTCAGGGTGCGGGGTTGTCAATCCCGTATAGATCTATACACAAACATCATGCTCCCCCTCTAAAGGATTCTGGTATATAATACAGGACTTGAAATGTGTACTCGAGTGTACGTGAAGTTTAATGTCTCACAAAACTTAGTATAAAACAGATTTACGTGTAAAAATGTTCGTTTGTTCTTGTACATGAGAGTAACTTCTTGAAGTAGTATTTCAAGTATGTAAAAGTTCGTAGTATTCTCGTCAAACTATACCTATTATAGTTTCCTAAAAGTGTGTTTCATTTGTATAATAATCCCTAGTGAAAATGCTCACTTGTTATGAAAAGTATAATTTTTGTAGTGCTAAAATCGACACACATAAATATAGTATAAGCAGAGTGTCTGATTTACATAAATATATAAATCATTTCTTATTTCAAAAGATAAGATGCTATCGTGGTATAATTTGCATATGAAAGTTTCCCTATAATAGTTATAAATCACATATGATTCCGTTGATAAAAAAACGTATAATGAAACTTTATATAACACACAATAATAATCGAGTGTTTACTTGTATTCCCCCCTTAAAAGCATATAAAAGTATTTATACAACATTTAAAAGTGTGAATTATAGGGGTATGAACTCACTTGAAAGATCGAAGAAGGCGAGATGAAAACCAGATAGAATTTCGACTCGAGAAAGTGGATTTTCTCGGGATTCTCGGGAATCTCGGGAATCTCGGGAGCACAAACGACCCTCGGGACTTGAGTAAGGTAACTGGGACTTCGGGATAGCACGGGCACGGAAAACGAGGCAAAAACGCAAGAGAGATGAGAGGAAATGACTCTTTTCTTCGGAACCCTCGCATCCCTTTCATAGGGGGTGGGAACCGCCTCCGTACGCGAGGCGTACGCGTGCGTCACACATGAGCGCATCCTCGACTGCTTCGGACTCCGGATGGGACTAGACATAGGCTCGCATAGAGCGCGACGTGGACGATCCGAGGCCTAGGCCTTGAGTACGCTGGGCGTACGCGTGTGTGGCTCAGCCTTCGGATAATACCGAAATTTCCATTAAAATTTATATTTTTAATATTTAATAAACTTCAAAAATTCATATCTTCTTCATACGAACTCCGTTTTCGACGTTCTTTATATCCACGCGTAGGTGAGACTATACTCTACAACTTTCGTTTAGATTCCGTCGGCAAATTTTGAAATTATTTTTATTATTTATTTTTAAAAGGTCGTGGTAAGAAAATTTCATTAGAAATTCATAACTTCATTATCTGACGTCTGTTTTTGCTAGGCTTTTTACTGTTAAAAAGCCATTGTCGAGACCTTCGATTCTCATTTAGGTCATTCCGGTCAAAAGTCACTTGATCTCTGATTCGAGTTTTTAGTTGTCAGTTGCTAAGCCGAACTTGGAAAATTCATAATTTCCTTATACGAAGTCAGATTTGGGCATTCTTTTTACGTACGATCACAGTTTAATGACATCTAACATAATAGGTAATTTAATTAGTGATTTTTGGATATTTTATTTTCGAAGTTAATTTCATTATAACGAACGTGGTTACAATACTTGACTTTTTAGGTCGTTTACATAGAGTTGAAATATCGGGTTGTCACAATGTCTTACCTAAAAAGACTATTGTGTCCTTATTAATTTATTTTTTAGTTAATTTTCTTATTTATGTATTTATTTTTTTATATATTTAAAAATTTAATAGACGCTACATATTTGTATCCCCTCACCCTAAACTTGAAACAACATTTAAGAAATTTAATATGGATCCCACCGGTCATCATCCTATCTTTCATCCTCCTCAACTTCTATTTTATTTCCATCTTTAGTGACATCGATGTCTTCACCAATCTTCTTTTTTTGGTCCTTCAACTCTGACGAACCAACACTATAACCCATTGTCTCTTCATCTTTAGTGGGTTGTGGTGTTGATTCGATGGAGTTGAAGGACCGAAAAAAAAGAGATGATGAATATGTCGATATCACTAAAGATGAAAAATAAATAGAAATTGAGGAGGATGATAGATAGGATGATGATGAGATACAGAAGTTGAGGAGGATGAGAGACATGATGGTGAGGAGATAGTCTTTTTTAGGTAAGACAGAGACCAAATGCGTAAAAAAAATAAACACTAGGGACCATTCGAGTTAAAAAATAAGTTAGGGACCAAAAACACAAATTCCTCCAAACCACATAGACCATTCGTGTAATTTACTATTATTTTTTTTGTTCATATTTATTCGGGTAACTATTATTTTTGTGGTACCGAACTTGTTGAAAGTGTTAACATCTAGCATGTACTCTGCTACAGCCGATCATAATGATCATATGTAAACACTTCCAACAAATTTATTACCTTGATATGTAAAAAAAAAAAATAGTTACCCAGATGTAAACATACCAAAAAATTAATTAGCTTAGTAAATCATTTTCCCCTTCAAATTTAGGACGTTTACAAGAATTCCGTTAAGAAAACATTTTGTTGTATTAGTCAACTAATCATTAAGTGATTCAAATTCCACGTGTGCACGCTTGTATTTTATAAAATCTTTCATTTTCAAATTTGACAAATCGTCTATAATTTTGAATTATAAATCAACTATAATTATGAATATTGTTAAATTGCTTATTGGGTATTTCCACTCCAACTTTGGGTTAGAGGTGCAATGGAAAAATGAAACCTGCTATATTTATGAAAATTATATATTTGTTTATTAGATCATTTCCGGACTAAATTTGAATGAAGAAAATCAATTTTTTCAATGCACCTTCGATCCAAATTTTGACCGACTTCTTTTCATACCACCGCTCTCTACGATTATATGGAATTTATAATAGACATAATTGATAGTTGATACATGTTTCTTAGAACATCTATAATGTATTGAACTTATTAATTAGAGTTTGATGGATTGATACATCCAGGGGTGGACGCAAGATTTCATAGTAGAGGTTGCACAGGAAGATTAAGGGTTGCACGGTAGTAAAAAAAATAATTTTTTAAAAAATTTCGAAAACTTTTCCACTGCGGCCGGAAAATTTAGGGGTTGCCGGTGCCACCCCGGAACCCCCTAAATCCGCCACTGGATACATCATCATTTTGTTTTGTATACAACTCTATGTTAATTTTCGTACGATGCATTGAACTCTATAAAGTTCAAGGAAATATATTTTTAGTGATTAAAAGGTTTTGTTTTTTCGATTGAAGTCAATATTCATTTAATCATAATGTCAATCAGGATGCCTCCTCCCTTTAGATGTTTGATTTTATGATATTTATTGTTGATTCCTGTTTTTTGTTCATATTCTAATATTCTTATTTATTACGTACGTATTGTTTTCTTTTAATGTTCATATTGGCTTGCTCCCCATTTTGCTGATCGTTTATTTTTGATATCTACTTCGCGCCCAACGTCTGTTGAGGTGTAAGAAACTCGTTATGTAACAAGAGAAGATATGAGAAAACAAAACAAGAAAAAAGAATAATAAACAAAAAGATAATCAGTGCACCTATGTGACTAATGATGCTGCAGATTATGTAACATCTGAAAATAACTTACAAAGTTAACCACGAAAACAAACTATAAATTAAGATGGATTTGGAGGGAAGAAACCTATGGTCTTTGGTCTGGTCACGTCCTCAGCAACCCATCACAGCACAGTCGTAAACAAATTGTGATTGTTGCTCCTTAACACCAAGAACATTCCAATCCAAGATACCATCTTCAATCCTAGATTTTGGACTCCAAGAATTAAGAACAATCGATGCATTCTCACGACTTTTTTGTACATACACAACTAGAAGCCTATCCCCACAAGCCTTAAAGACTAAACTCCAACCTTCCATCGAACTAGCCTTAACCGGAAGTCTGCCCAAAACATCCCATGAGTTCTTGTTTTTGTCATATTTCTTAACCATGCTGCTCATATAGTCAAGTGCATATAGCTCGTCACTAACAGCTGCAACAAGAGGAGGTGCCTGGGTAATCTTGTTTACAATAATAGGGTACATCCCATCAATTTTCCTCCACTGTTTTGTATTAAGATCAAACTCCTCACCACAAGTTAACGAATCAGTGCTACTTGTCATCCCTCCTATCACATAAAACTTTTTATCCATGAAAAAACAAGAACATAATCTACGTGAAGAGTGCATATCCGGCAAAATTTCCCATCTACCTGTTGATGAATCATATAACTCAGCTGATTTCAGAATATTTCCATTTTTGTCACACCCTCCTGCAACAATAGCAATTGATCCAAGAGTTCCAGAACCAAATAAGCAACGAGGGTTGTCTCTCCTTGCTCATAGCTACTTGACTGGATTGGGTTATTTTTTAAATCGAATGAATTAAGCTCCAACTATTTTAAACACCCAAGAGTTCCTAAACACAGACACACACACACACACACACACACACACACATATATATATATATATATATGAGTGTACACGAAAAGCATAACTTACTTGATATTCAAGCGCAGTTTCTAGTATGCTTACGATGTCGGTCATTAATGGACGTTCTTCCAAGTCTCTACTCAAACACCGATAAGCTATTGTGGTGAACGCCTCTAAAGATTTAGGATTTATTTCATCCTTTATTTTATCGAAAATAATTTCCTTTATTTTGTTTTGTGAATAGTATTGACGCACCAAACCTGTTAAAGAAGGCCGATGAATACCATTCTTGTTGCCGATACATAACCTCCCACACAACACTTCAAACAAAACCACACCGAAGGAATAAACATCAGACTCTTTTGTTAATAACCCTGTTTCCATATATAATGGATCACATTACCCGATCGTGCCTACGCCATTGGTGACGAGAAATGTGTAATCTTGGTTCGCGGGACCAAATTTGGACAAACCTAAATCTGAGATCTTGGCATTCCAGTTCTCATCTAGGAGGATGTTAGAACTCTTAATATCACGATGCAATACTCTTTGTTGGGTCCCAAAAGGATTATGAAGGTACGCCAGTCCACGAGCTGCCCCGATGCAAATATTAAGTCGTTGAATCCAAATTAGATCATCTTTGTTGAGATATGAGTCAAGACTTCTCCTGGATGCATACTCGTACACAAGGATCTTTTCGTCATTTTCGTCACAAAATCCTAATAGAGAAACAATATTGTCATGCTTGTAAAGAGAAAGCATAATAATTTCTCTCCAGAACTCAAGTTTCCTTGCCCAAATACAGGATCTAACCGTTTTATGGCAACAATTTCTTGCCCCTTGTAATGAACAAGCTCTCCTTTGTATACTTTTCCAAAACCACCCATACCAATGCAGTTTTCATTAGCGAAATTTTTGGTTGCCAACTTTATAGCTTTCAGTTGTATTTTGAGATATTCAAACTTATGCATGAGATGCATCATTTTTGTGGTGAAAATAAAATAGATATAAAGTTAAGAGCTTTCAGGAATAGCTTAATGGGAGAAATATCATGAAAACAAGCAACTCTTAAGTCATTTTAAGCTTTCTCTTTCTCATACACAACGACAATGCACTTGGTAATACTTTATCTTTTTATTCATTTTGAATAGAAAACCACTTATTTGACTAGATTCCAAATAATTTCTTTCAATTATTGTGCTCGATATTTTTCTTAGGTGGGATCTATACTAAGACCACACGGTATGGGTCATAACGAGAAAGGAAGATGCTGACATGGATGCCCACAACGCCGTCATAACTGGGGAACACCGCCCCCTAACTCGTTGCATCTCGTCATGGTGAACCTCGTTGGCGTTGTGACGAATTGAAACGGAAAGGTTTTACGAGGGAACACCAACTTTTTGTTTTTTTTCTTTTTCGTTTTTTTTTCCTTTGGTGTTGCATCTTGTTGCTCATTTCCCCACTTTGTGTTATAACACCACTTGCTTATGTGACATGTGAGGTGACACAACTTGATGTTGCACCTTGTTGCCCACACCCAATGCTCTAAAAAAGGTTATCCCAAGTCTTTGTGCATTCTTAATCTATTTTTCTTTTTAGATATTATACAATTGTTTTAGATTTTTTTTTCTATATGAATATCTTACGTTTTTTTCGCCATTAATTAAGTATTGTATTAATGTGTAATGATGTATGTATGGATAAAATGATATAACATAATATATGTTTTATTTTTAGACCGAATAAATCATCTAAATAAACTAAATAAGGGTTAACACGGTTTTTTTTAGGGGAAAATACTATTTGAACTGTATTTAAGTTGCCAATTGCTACGCAAACAAGCAAATAAAACAATAAAATGACACATACAATTAAAGTGGTTCGGTTGATGTTACATAGACTCACCGACAAAAACCAGATAGCTGTAAGTCCCAAAATAACGAATCCAACAGTAATCAAACAAACACCAAAAAATCAAGTAAGAATGTAGTAGAAGAATAGAATCAATCCAAACATGCACACGTTTTATGTATTGAATAAACGTCTGATACACCTTGGGGCCGTAAACAATAGAGACTCTGATACGTTAACATGACAAGATTCTGACACACACTATATATAAGGGAAGGTTGGCTGTAAACAGGTTTACGACCGTAAACCTGTTTATGGCCGTAAACTTGTTTACGGTCGTACACACACTTAAGACTGTAAACACAACAAAATAGCTAAAACTGATCAAAAACCTAACATGACTTATACAAATGAATGCCTAGCTTAAACCACAAAATAATGGCCTTTCAATCTACCCCTTGGTTTGAGGCTAGCATAAGCTCAGTCCTTTTCAATAACCAACACATATGATATTCCCATTGCACCCAGCCACATACTCTTGTTAATTATCTCAGAGATCATGCTAGTAAATTCTTTAGCAGCTGGCTCCAAAACTTCTTGCTCACAAATGGTTTGATGATCAACCAACGTGTGAATGTCCTCCTTACCAAATTGCAAAAGATCCCTCTTATCAATTAGACGGAATGAACCATTTTTGAAATTGATGACTGCTGAGGCCGTTGCTTCATCATATGCCCAGTATAGTATGTTGCACAAAGATCCATCACAGAAGTTTTTAATGATAGGAATCTTTGTCAACTACTTCGTAGGAGGCCACATGACGGTTTTGATTTCCTTCTTGGTGGTTGAATCAAACACATGCTTAGCAATTTTCAGGAATGATTCAGCAGTCTTCATACCATCAAATCCTCTTTTCACCTTATTTTCCAGAAAAAATTAAAAGTCGTTGCCTGAGGATTATTGGAGGGATTGTAGAACGGAGCAGCAGACAACTTTGTTAGATCCACCTTGGTAAGCGAAGAGAAGTCATTTTGATGTTTGTAGTACTCCACTGTGTTGCACTTCCTCTTGACCAACCAACAATTGATTTTATCGTGAAATCCCCACATACAGACTCCTAACCAATCTCCATATTTATGATGGAACTTTTTCTTTTCAAGGCCGGTCACAGTTAATTAAGGATGATTACCACGAACATTCTGATCATTATTTTTCATGAAAAGTAGTCCTCCTCTTTTCTGAGACGTAACCGTTCTCGCTCCTTACTTGATAGTGATTTGGGGTGGAGCTTAAACCAGTTCCTTCTCAAATCGGTCAACGACCGTTGTGGTTCTAACTGGCCTGTTATCGATTTGCTCAAAGATTGGAAAAGTGGTTGGATCAGTTGTAGGAACTTGAGAAACACTTGGGCCTTCAGCTGATGATTGAAACTTATCTTCAAATTCAACGATAAGTCTATTCTTCTTATCAAAGTAGCCGGCTGAAAGAGCACCAAGGTTGATTTGAAGATCAGAAGTTTGTTTGGACTTTTGATACTTTTCTTGTTGAAGAGCATAAATTTGATCAGTCTTTAAGGAACTTTCAGCTTCAAGCACTGAGAGACGAGCATCAAGGTCCTCAATTATAAGATCTTTTTCGATCAGTTGCTGTTTGAGCACAGTAATCTTTTTCCTGAGCTCTGGATTAGATGAATCACCCGCCTTCAAGTTGCCTTCCTCTATAGATATCCCATTACTGCGAGAAGGAAGATCTGCTGCGTTTTCAGCCAAGTACCTAGTAAGCGTTTCTGAGGCAATATCATGCTCATGACATGTAGGGGATACAAACTCAGGTGCTGAAGAACTTACAGCTTCAAAAGTTGTTTTAGGTTGATCAAGATCAGGTACAGTAGTTTTTGGAGTCATGGTTGAGGTGGTCAGTACAGGTTGGATAGGTTGGACCAAATCCTGAATCAGTATCCTTGGCCTTGGATCTAGTTGATGGGTTTGAGCCATATGAACATTCCTATGTGCACATACAATCCCTAATGCTTGGATCTAGGTTTCTCTAATGACCATGTTTTTCATCCAAGACTTGCAAACCCTAGATCTATGATAGACAATTCGATATTAACAATCCAAAAGAGATGTAAATGATTACCTCTTCTTGAAAGCTTGAATCTTGTTATCCTTGGAGCTTAGAGTCACAAGTGTTACTCCTCTAATGACTTACAAACACCAAGAAGCAAGAGGATTATTTGAAGAGAGGTTGTAGGAAGAAAATTAGCTCTAGGAACTCCTTAGGGTTTCTGGTAGCCAATTTCTGTAGCCCTGGGTCCTTTATATACTTGAGCTGCTATGTTACAACCTGAAACCCTAATTGGATTACTTAGGCCTTAAGCAGTCCAAGGATCCTTCTAGATTAGGGCTTGGACGAATTCAAGGAGTCCATACACCTTAATTTCGCCCACTCTATGATCCATAAGGATCCACAACCCAAAACCAACTATCACACAATTGACAGTTCTAGTCTCCTTTATTTAATTAATCTCTTTTAGCCACATAATTAATTCTTCTCTAATATTAATTAAACTATTTGATTTATACTTTAATATATTAATCATATAATATATTAAACCATAATAACCTCTTTATTTATAAATCATCTTATCATGTTGCTCTGGTGAAGGCAACCCAAAAGGACCATGCACAACTGGGTCAAGTACTTACCAAATACAGTTACAGGCTTAGACACTATTCAAACAGTCTCCCACTTGGATAAGTCTAGTAATTGAAAGCATAATCTGATTAGCAATTATAGCTCTCAAAGAGGCTGTCAAACTCTGATCTTATCGGTAACCTGTCCTTTAGATAATGGATCATATATTCCTTTGTTCTAGATATCGTGCGGACAATCACATGGAACATAGTCATGCTTATTTTCCAGCAGTATGTTTCTCGATCTTAGATTCATTCGACATAGAACTTAATTGAACAGATCAATTCAGTCCTGAACGGGCTCGACACATAAGTCAAATTAAATCATCGAGGGGCCCTGATATTGCTTTTACCCTCTTAGGATAATAGGAACAGATAATCTTCGACTTATATGCATTTACTATTTACTAATCAAATCATACACAACAATGCGTTTTATGACATCAAGTTACTGATGCGTTTTCGCATTATCAAACCAATCAGCAAACAATAAACCATATATCTAGGTTTTAAGACCATATGATATTATCGTCTTGCGATCACTCGTGATAAATTCCATGAAGTGATTCCAGCAAGCGTGGGTTTATTCCAATGCTCAAAACTTGCTCATAAGCACTCATTAACGTTGTAGCAAACCTTTGCTATGTCTAATACCTTTTAGACAATCTACACACCTATTCATGACAGTCTTCATTCATACCTACTTCCATCATATGAACGACTGTGTACCGTTCGAATAATTCGATTATTCTTAAATGACTCAATTGTTCAGGAAGTCAAAACATGCAAAGTGAAATAATAGTTAAATAATTAACATAAGACAGTAACTTTACTTATAAATAATACTCCTTTATTTAATCATCAAATGTCACTTACATTTATGTATTACACGTTTCTAAACTATCTAATCTAAACTAATATCTCCCTTCAGCCCAATGCTCGTAGCGTGCTGCAAGTGTTTAACCCTACTCAGTCCCTTCGTAAGCGGATCTGCTAGGTTATCCTCTGACGATACCCTCTTTACTATGAGGAGTCCTTCTTCTACCCGATGTCGAATAAAGTGATATTTTCTATCGATATGTCGAGATCTACCATGATCCCTCGGTTTCTTGGTCAAGGCAACCGCTCCTTCATTATCACAAAACATTTCCACGGGCTCCTTTATGGAAGGCACAACTCCAAGGTCTCCAATGAAGTTCTTCAACCATATCGCCTCCTTTGACGCTTCGCTCGCTGCAATGTACTCTAAGAATCATCTACAGTTTCTTGCTTGGAACTTTTCCAAGTCACTGCTCCTCCATTAAGGGTAAAGACCCAGCCCGACTGCGGACGGTAGTTGTCCATGTCGGTTTGAAAACTGGCGTCACTATACCCTCGCACTTTTAAGTCATCCCTCCCACCGAGGACTAGAAACCATTCCTTGGTCCTCCGAAGGTACTTAAGGATATTCTTGACTACGGTTCAATGTGCTTTGCCAGGGTTCCCTTGATATCTACTGACCATGCTCAAAGAAAAGGCCACATCAGGGCAAGTACAAGTCATAGCATACATAATCGAGCCAACTAAGGAAGCGTATGGTAGTCGGCTCATTTCTGGTATCTCAACTTTGGTACTAGGGCATTGAGTCTTACTCAACTTGGCATTACTTTGGATCGGTAACTCTCCCTTCTTTGATTTTTCCATACTAAAACGTTTTAGTACCTTGTCCAAGTGAGTATTCTGACTAAACCCTATTAGTCTCTTACTTCTGTCTCTCACTATCCTTATTCCCAAAATATAGGAAGCCTCTCTAAGGTCCTTCATAGTGAAGCACTTCCCGAGCCAGGACTTAACCTCCTGCAGTGTCGGGGTGTCGTTTCCTATGAGTAGTATGTCATCGACATACAATACGAGGAAGTTAACTATACTCCCACTGGCTTTGACATATACACATGATTCATCTTCACTTCGCAGAAACCCAAACTCTTTGACTTTCTCGTCGAAACAAAGATTCCATCTGCGAGACGCTTGCTTAAGTCCATAAATGGACTTCTCAAGCTTACACACTCTATTGGGATGCTTCGCATTGACAAAACCCTCTGGCTGAACCATGTAAAATCCTCAACCAACGTCCCATTAATGAAAGCGGTTTTGACATCCATCTGCCATATTTCATAATCATGAAATATAGCAATGGCCAGCATCACCCTAATAGACTTTATTTTCACAATTGGTGAGAAGGTCTCATCATAGTCAACTCCGGGAGTTTGAGTAAAGCCCTTCGCAACCAATCGCGCCTTATATGTGTGCACATTCCCATCCACGTCGGTCTTCTTCTTGAAGATCCACTTGCACCCAACCGTCCTACGTCCGAGCACATGGTCAACCAAATTCCAAACTTGGTTTTCGTACATGGACTGAATCTCGATGTCCATTGCCTCTTTTCATTTCGCAGAATCCGAGCCTGCCATGGCTTCCTTATAGTTGTTAGGTTCGTCCAAATTTATTAGTGTACTATCACTAATATACGTGTCCCATTCTGTAGTAATATGAAAACCATACAACTGGGGTTGAACTCTAACTCTTTCGGAACGTCTAAGAGGTAGGGACTCGTTAATTGGTTTAATTGGAGTTTTCTCCTCGGGTTGAGCGCCAGCGTTAGAGGTTACTTCATCGCTCGGCTCTTGAATCTCTTCAAGATCGATTTGCCTCCAACTGTTTCCTTGGCTTATGATTTCTTTCTCTCGAAAAACCCCTCTTCTCGCAACGAAGATAACATTGTCACTCGGTCTATAGAAGAGATATCCAAAGGATTTCTACGGGTAGCCGATGAAAATACATCACTCACTATGAGGTTCGAGCTTGTCGTGAGTCTTTCGTCTTACGAAAGCCTCGCAACCCCAAACCTTGATATGTGCCAACGAGGGAGCTTTCCCTGTCCATATCTCGTGAGGTGTTTTGGCAACCTTCTTTGTAGGGACTAAGTTAAGGATATTGGTGGCAGTCTCTAAGGCATATCCCCAGAATGAGATAGGTAGTGAAGCACGAATCATCATGAAACGAACCATGTCCAAGAAGATTCGATTACGCCTCTCAGCCACACCATTCAACTGCGGTGTCCTAGGTGGCGTCAATTGCAAAACTATTCCGCATTCCATGAGGTAGTCACGAAATTCAAGACTTAGGTACTCTCCTTCTTGATCGGATCGAAGCATCTTGATTTTCTTGCCCAATTGATTCTCCACTTCTTGTTTAAACTCTTTGAACCTTTCAACGGTTTTTGACTTGTGCTTGAATAAGTAGATATACCCATATCTGCTATGGTCATCGGTGAAAGTCACATAGAATAGGCCCGCATCCCTTGTGGTGGATCTAAAGGGCCCACACACATCGGGTGTGTATGAGATCCAATAGACACTCACCCCCTTTCACAAGTGCCAGTGAAGGGTGACTTGGTCATCTTTCCAAGTAAACAAGACTCACACACGTCATCATCCCTAAGGTCGAATGACTCTAACACTCCATCCTTTTGGAGTTGGGCTATGCATTTCTTGTTAACATGTCCAAGAAGACAATGCCACAAGCATGCTTTATCCATACCATTGGAAGAATCCACACACAGCACATCATTTCCTAAGTTATCTACAACCATCATAGTTTCATAAATTCCATTACAAGGCAATGCTTCAAAATATAAAACACCATTTAGATAAGCATAAATAGAACCTTTCTCATTATCAAATGAATATCTAAATCCTTGTCTAAACAAACCATGAAATGAAATGATGTTTCTTGCCATATCTGGCGAATAGCAACAATTATTTAAATCTAATCCTAATTCATTACTAAGCGCTAGAGAATACACTCCAATCTTGGTGACAGGTGATGATCTTCTGTTCCCCATGATTAGATTTATCCTTCCACGCTCCACACCCATATTTTTTCTTAGTCCCTGCAAATCAGAACATATGTGAAAACCACATCCTATATCAAGAACCCAAGAAATAGCATGTGATGAATCATTAGATTTAACGAAAGATGGCTTGATCTTCCCATACTTGATGGCTTGCGGATATTCTGGGCAGCTTCTCTTCAAATGCCATATCTTGTGGCAGTGGTGGCACTTTGCCTCCTTCGGGTTAGAGTTGGGTTTAGCAAAACCCACTTTGGTTCCACTAGAAGAGGTACCATCTTGGGATTTTCCCCTTGTTGTGGCTCTTTGAAGGAGC